TCTTCTCCGAGTACAACTTCGTTGTTCACTACAAGCCGGGCAAGAATAACATTCTCGCCGACGCGCTGTCTCGGCGTCCGGACTACGATCCCCGTGAAGCGCTAGGACATCAGCTCGCTGATGAGGACGACGGCGAATGTGCGGTCTGCGTGTCGTCAGGCTTCAACCTGACGTTGACCACGCCCACGCTCCCGCTGGGCGACGAGATTGCTACAGCGTACGATGATGACCCTATATACGGCGCCATCATGAAGCACCTGCGTGCTCCTAGTAGTGACACGCTAAGTGCCCTGTCAAAGACCACGCGGAATCAGATCGATCGATATCGACTGGACGGTAATCTGCTCAAGTACAGCATCGACAGGTTCGATGGACCTCGAGTCGTCGTCCCAAACGACGCTGATCTACGTGCGCGCATAATCCACGAGTATCATGACGCCCCGACTGGAGGACATCTCGGTCGCGAGAAGACGTACGCGGCTCTGTCGAGAGACTTCTATTGGCCGCACATGTACAAGTGGGTACGCAAGTGGGTCCGCACATGTGAAACTTGCCAGCGAGTCAAACCGTCTTCGACGTCTCAGGCCCCATTGCGCCCTCTTCCGGTCGACACGGAAGCCTGGCGCTCCATTTCGATGGACTTCATCTTCGGTCTTCCGCCCGATACAGCCGGGCGCACAGGTGTACTTGTGCTCGTCGATCGTTTCAGCAAGATGGTCCATCTCGTTCCGGTGGCGGCCTCAATAACCGCGGAAGAGTCCGCGGCCCACTTCGTCGACGTGATTTTTCGTCACCACGGCCTGCCGAAGTCTATCGTGTCCGACCGCGACCCGCGGTTTACATCCGCGTTCTGGTCACGCCTCTTCGAGCTCTTGGGAACCTACTTGCTGATGTCAACTGCGGCACATCCGGAGACGGATGGACAAACAGAACGCGTCAACCGCGTCCTTGAAGACGTTCTCCGCAGCTATGCAACTTCGTACACGAGCTGGAGCTCGTTCCTACCGCTAGCCGAGTTCGCACTCAACAACGCCGAGCACTCCTCGACGGGTATGACGCCGTCCTTCGTGAACAACGCTCGCCACCCACGTGTTCCGGCACTTCTCGCCGTGGGTCACCCCACGGATGCTGGCGGCTCCACCCTTGGTGGGGGAGAACCTCCTTCGGTCGACATGGATGCTGAAGCTGCGCTCAGCTCTAGGGACAACGTGTCCGTGTCGTGGTCATCACCGGTACGTGAACCGGTGTCTCAGCACGCACCGGTAGCCTCACCGGTGTCAACAAGCCTGCCGGCGCACTCGACTTCAGGGTTATCTTCGGGTGTAGCCAGTGCGAACGCCCTGACTCGTTCTCCGTCCAGGCAGTCCATCGAGCCTCCTCGGCATACTGCATCTCCGATAACGAGATGGACGTCGCAGAACTTGATCGATCCAGGCAGCAAGATTCGTGAGCAAGAAGTTACCACGGCAAACTATACACCGAAATGCTCGGTGCTTCCTGCCGATCGCTCGGCAGTTGCGGAATTTGTCATGCAAAGGCAATCCATCGCAAGGTTCGTCCGCGACGCACTGCAGAACGCAGTGGACAAGCAAAAGGAACAAGCTGATAAGCACGGTCGAAAGAACGTGAATGTATTCAAGATAGGAGATCGCGTTCTCCTATCGACCGAGGGAATCCGCGCTTCCGCCGTGACCAACCTCGGCGGCAACAAACTTGCCCCACGCTTCATCGGTCCTTTTCGTGTAACCAAGGCTGTGGGCGACGCCTACACCTTGGCCATCCCGTCATCACTTAGACTCCACCCGACGTTTTACGTCGGGTGACTCAAGCGGTACTTCCCTGCAACGATTCCTGATTCGAGCCAGCAGACGGAGCGTGCGTCGGGCGACCAGCCTGACGAGCCTGACGCGCCAAAAAGCCGTCAGCCCCTGGCGCCCGCTCTCGCGGACGATCTTCCTGCTGGGCAGAGCCAAGAACATGCGTCTCCAATCCCCGTAGGCGAGATAACAGCTCTCGATTCGACTGACGAAGCTCCGACGCGATCTGCTCAGCCCGCCAGGCACGATCGTCCGCCCGCTCAGCCCCAACCTGAGCGTCCAACGCGCGGTTCGAAGCTGCCTCCACCTCGCCCTGAACGTACAGGGCGTACGCCGTATCATCGTGAAGGCCCACCACCGATAATTGACTCGGTGGGTGTGCGCGCTGGATTGTGGAGCGTATCGTTGACCACGAAGATCCCCACAGCTCGACCGCTCAACGAAACGTCCGTAGTCGTGTTCCTTGCGCGGTTCCGACCGCGCGCCGCTACTTGGTACGTTGGCTCGGTTATCCCCCAGAACATGATACGTGGGAGCCCCGCGCCAACCTTCTCCGCGACGTTCCGGACGTGATCCACGAGTATGAGACCATGCTGCTTGAGAGGAAGAATTCCGCGGGTCACCCCGCGGAGACCGTGAATAAAATCGAGAACGGCCACGAGTACGACCCGCACGAGGAGGTGACAACGACGCCGCGCTCCGACGCGTGCAACGTCGGCGTGAGCCGCGGCGAACACTGACACAACTTGTCAGTGCAAGAATGAAAACAAGAAACCACCGGCGACATCGAACCGGTGACCAGTGGGTTGGCAACCCGACACGCTACGACGGCGCCGAAACGACTTCAATTACCAGCGGCGACACGGTGGCCAACAAGTATCTGATTCTGGTGACACCAGCGGGGACAATGTGATGCTCACTTGGGTTGCTCAAGTGGTTGACTTCCGTCGACAAGTCTCATGTCTTCGAGATGTTCGAAGCTATTCCGTTCTGGCAGCAAAAACAACACTCGCGTGTGGGTGAGTGAATGCGCCTCGTGGGAATCGAACCCTGGCGTCCTGACTGGAAGCCCCATGCATTGACCATTGCGCCACGAAGTCGGCTTTGTGAGGTTCCTCATGTCTGTGATCCAAGTGCCTCCAGCTCGGAGTCTTCTAAGTCGCATGTACGCTGGGCACTTCGTCGATGTGTGTCTTGGGAGCCGAGACGCACAGTGACGGTCCTCGCAGTACATCCAGAGCTTGTGGCGCACCTGTCGACCCTGGGCTTGCCCTTGTTACCACCGCCAGCGACGCGCTGGCGCTGCCGCCCTTCGCGCTGTCTCCGATGTCTCCGCCTTGTCGGTTTTCGAGTTTTCTTCAAATGTGTTCCGTGCGCTTATGTTGCGTAAGCGCAACTTAGAGAGGAGGGTGATGTAATGGGCCCAACTCCAATTACATAAGTAGGTAGATATTTCTTTAGTTATTACATAAGTAGGTAAAGTGGCACACGGGTAGCGTGTGCCAAAGTGTCATCATCTGATTGGTTGATAGTGAGGAGCCAGACTCACTTATTGACCAATCAGATATAGACATGTGTTTGAGTGGTTCACACGAGGCCAGGGGTAGCCGCCCTGGTCCTAAATAAATCAGAGTTGAATTTGACACAAACCTAAGACTTGGTTTTATTATTGCGAGCTTCCTCCGCACTATAGTGTAAGCTAGTAACGGTATCTCTTACCCCGTTACACCTCTCCGCAAGTTCTATTCGATACATAAACTAATATAAACCATACTTTACCTAAGTCAGTGTCGTCGTGAGCAGCACGGCGGCACGGTCGCTCTTGTCCATTGATCATAGTAAACTTGGTATATCCGCACGCCCGCACGTCAGTAAGTACGCAGCCGCAGGCTGCAGCAACAGACGTATGATAGGATGCAGGATCGGCTGTCAGTGTCAATGCCGGGCACTGACAGTCCAATTGTATGTACTGCTGGTGCTGGCCTCTTCACACAGGGGCTGGCATCTCACAGGAGTGGTTCTATTGCATCTGATTCGGCAGAGTTAACTAGCTGTTCGATAGTTCTCCGCTCATCGGCAAAGTCGGGTGACTACGTAGTAAGCTCCATCCTCTTTTTATACATGGTCCATCACAGCGAGAACGAAAACCCACATTAAAAAAGTACTAGATATGTGATGGCCACAGATCTGAAAAATCTGGAACCCTTTGGAGAAATCACAGTCGGAGCTCTCGATTTCTTCATTTTTCACTTCATGGCACCGATGGATGAGTCAGCTTTTACGTTTGAAAGCTCACTTCTTCACGAAATCAATATTGCAGAAACACAACAGAGAGATGTGACTGGCGCACCTAAAACGGTGAGGAATTTTAAGTGGGACGCATATCCTTACTATCTTTACCGGTCGTATTATCTGCACACATTAGTTTCTTTATTTGCAAGTGTTCCATGCAGGTCGATGCAGCTCTTTAATACATCGATTCTCATGCGACTTTAAAAGTTGGACACAAGCCCTCGTATTTTTTCGATCAAATGCACGCTCTACACGGAAAAAGGTAGCACAACAGAGTGTTTTCACTGATGCGACGTCTTATTCCTACATGGTCAAGCTGTAGCAAATTAATACATTTGACTGTGGGATTGTTGTTCTTTATTATTTCGACAAACTCCACCGCCATTTCGCCCGCCACAAGCCACAGCTACTCCAAAACAGGGTTAAGAAGATCTTATCAGGTTTTGGGCCGGCACGTGCTGATCAGGACAAGCAAAGGCTGCGTAGCCAGCTTAAAATTGCAGTTGCGGAAACGAGTGTAGTGGGTTAATGCTTACGCGTGACATTTATTCAGTCTTTTCTTACCACTAACAATTATTAATAGATGCTCGCAGCTTCTAAATGACAACGTGAGTTTTTTTTTCTCGCTTTTAGTAAGCCCAGCGATGGTGCTACGGTCTGGAAATTGCTCGACCACATCCCCTCATAAAATCGATTTGTGAATTCTGATCCTGGTATGGCAGCAGAATTAGCGTGGAATACTTTATTAAATAACTCTTTCACTAAAAATAGCTCCAATGCCCGATTGGCTAATAAGTTAAAAGAGATCGTAGCCAAAAAGAATCAGATCCCTGATTCTGTCAGCCTTAAATTCCCTAAAAAGGTGTCGCTTGAGGGATAGCTTGCATTGATATGGCGGGCGTCCGCTGTCCTCCCGTGAGTGGCGAAGCCTCCGTTGAACATCGCGTGATAACGACAGGACCAGGCAAGAGCGAGTGGCAATTTGCTGATCGTGGCTTGCGCTTCTCGTCTCGCTTCGACGGCGGGAACATGGCTCATGTACAGCTGAATCCGTCAGGGTCGTTCGACGTCAAAGTGTCAGAAGACGCCGCAGCTTTTGGCATTTCCACGGGCTACACTACCTGGTTCTACTTTGAGGTAGAACGGACTCTTAAGGCCGCCAAACAACCGCAAGATCTGCACGTGACATTGGTGAATCTGAATCCACAGCGAGGACTATTCAAAAATGGCTACACGATCATGCACAGCTCGGTTGAAGCCGGGGACGAGCCTGCCGCAACTACAACACCCCCCTGTATCTTCCAGGACGAGGAACGATGGGACCGGTTGCCTTCACCGCTGAGTTTCGAAAAATCCACGGAACTTCCAAGACAACCGACGAATGAGGTAGAAAGTGGACAGGGATTAGTACCACAAGAAACAATAGTAAAAGGAACATCGAACGTGACGGACGCAAAGAAGGAAGTGAAAATTCGACTGTCGCTCAGCTACAAATTCAAATTTGCTCGAGAGCGAGTGCGATTCGCATTCTGCTACCCGTACACGTACACGAGGGTGCAGGAGGAACTTGCAAGCTTGGATCGGCAATTTGCGGACCCAAAGCAACATTCAGTACAGTCATCGACATCACCTACGCCTCCTACAAAGGAGGAGATATCTTCGAACGTGTACTATCATCGCGAGCTGTTGACTCGCTCTCTCGAAGGTTTACGTGTTGATCTGGTTACCATTTCATCCTATGACGGCATCACGTCAAGCCATCAAAGCAGCGAGCGTAATCCATCCAAAAGTGCGTATCGTTTCGACTCCAAGCAGAAGAAAATGGTCGTCATCTCCGCTCGTGTTCATCCAGCAGAGACCCCCGCGAACTTCATGCTAAACGGGATGCTCCAGCTCCTTCTGCATCCAACAGACGAGAGTGCTACTGCATTACGTCGACACTTTGTCTTCAAGCTCATCCCCATGTTGAACCCCGACGCAGTGTGTCAAGGTTTCTACCGTACAGACACACGCGGTGTTAACCTGAATCGCGTCTATGAAGACCCACAACCGGACTTGGCTCCAACGGTGTTTGCATTGAAAAACCTGCTACTTGACCTTGTCAACGACTATGGGGGCGCCCAGTCTATCACAGCACAGGAGAACGTGGTGTATCTGGACCTACACGCTCATGCGAATCGACGTGGCTGCTTCATCTTCGGTAACAATCATCTCCCGGACATGCGAGATGTGAGTGATGCAATGGAGACGGCAATTGCGCGTCAAGTCCAAACGCAACTGTACGCTCGGCTTGTAGGACTCCACACTCCGTTTTTCGACTACATGGCGTGTTTATTCGACAAGGAGAGCATGACAAAAAATGATCTACGCGATAATAACAATGCCACCACGTCGCGTCAAGGATCAAGTCGTGTGGCTCTGTATCGAGCTACTGGACTCACGTACGTGTATACCATTGAATGTAACTACAACGAAGGTCGGCGTAATTTACGGACATCCACCGTGATGCCATCGTCATCTTCTAAGCGCTCGAAAGCGTCAACGACGAGCATTCAACCGGATAATCTGCGGATACCGCGTCGAACAGCTCCAACGAGCACTCGGCTGTATCTCAAATACTCGCCGGCGGACTGGAGAGACGTCGGCGTTGGCGCCCTCATTGCGCTCTTGGATTTGTTTGAACTTCCTGGTGCCGGACAGCGAATACAAGATTCTTCGTTTCGGTCTCGCGATGGGATCATGAAGAATCTGCTAGCAGAAATCAGAGCCACCACGCCAGGTGAAGCCACAATTTCTGTAAGACCAACTAGGCAGAAGTCACGGCTGGTTGCTAAGCAACAATCCAAAGTCAAGTAGTTAGACCCAGCGTCGCTATTTGGGTTAATTAGTAATTAATCGATCCAAAACGACTCTAACTTTTTATGCTCAGATCCAAACTAATGTTAAACACAAAACTATATTTATTGCAGCACTGATACGCCTATTTTATGAGATCTACGGGTGGATTGTCGTTTATAGTGGGTTTTCTCCTCTAAACGTGCTTAGCCTGTCATTTGAAAATCAGCACCTTTTTTTAATCAAGTAGAATGGCCTGTACCAGTGGTGTCACCAAGGTGAATGTTGATCACTGTAAATTACGACTAGCCGAAGTAATTTAATCCACTTGAATGTTGTTCGAACAGACTTCAGCTTTCGCTCAGAGTTGATGACCTTGCTTGGTCTCAGTTTTGGTAGATTCCCCTGTGAATGTATTTAGAAATGTAAACCTGTTTTAACTATTTACAACTATACTAGCAGCTCTTCGTTAACCTACGCGTTATTGAATGAGCTGCTGTGCCGTAAGGTGTCTAAAATGACCTCCTCAAGACTGCTTTGTCCTTATATTTAATACAAAAGTCGTCAAATTCGATAGTATAATCAAGTATAGTTTTAATTGCATACAAAGTGGCGAATGGAGGTGAAGACGTAAACCTGCTGCACTGCAGTAACATCATTTGATTCGGCAAGAGCCTACATTGAATAATTTCCTTTGTCCTCGCCGAGGCATTTGCAAGGACTACAATTAAACGTACACTATTATGGCCTACTTTAAATGAGAATGACACCCGCTGGAAACATGGTCATGAGAGACCCAGGTAACACGATTCAGAGAATTACCGGTAACGCGTTAAATTTCTGCTTACATAAAGTAGTCTGTCTCAGGCTAATTACTGCAACCACTGTTTTACATGCAAGGCAAATACCGTTCCAGATGCCATTTCAGATGCCATTTCTAAGAGCCTTCACTTCAGTTTACCCATCCCGGCATTTCAGATGGCCACGTCTGTTTCATGAATCACGCAGCACAAACCTTCCACAGCATGCCCAGCAACTCCCTCAGTTGCCCAACCACATGGTGATTGCTCACTGGTAAACGGATCTCAAGTACGTGTAGCTTGCGCCAGCGAGTTTCCTGGATTGCTGGACTGAAGCTAAGACATGGCAAATATCTCGACTGTTGGAGTAGGACCATGTTGCACGGGGGGGGGGGGTCTCTGCGAGTCGCAGACAGCGACACGGTGGTAGTGGTGAAGATTCGGATAATGAAGGCAGATGTTAGCGCCCAGCACCTGTAACGGTTTCAAATGGCGCTGTAAGATCGACAGAAGAACACTGCTCAAGTCAACAATTGACTTGGAGCGGCAAACTGAATGAGCTCTAGATGAACTGGTTTCGACTTAAAATTTATGTCGCAATTGCACGAAGAGGTGATCATGCAATGCAAGCAAAAGCTTATGACCGTGTTTTGTCAATACCTAATTACAGTAGCTTATCGGTCCTTCTCACAATGTCATGTCAGTCAATGCAAAATGAAGACGATGACATAAGCTTCAACGCCATCTTTTTCTTAAAAACTCCAAAGTTTATTAATACAACTTTTTTCTATTGTCAAGCGTCTCAAAATTCGAGAAGACTCGACAAAAAGCCAGCTGACTGACTGTGGTGGCGCCTTGTCCATCTGGACGAGTGTAGGGCATGTGTGCGACTCACGCCATGTGTAAAGAGCGTGGATCAATGGCAGCGAGGGGATCACAAGAGTCAGCAAGGCTGGCGTCCTCTTCCGTCGCATTTCCTGTTGCGGATTCCAAGTGCCGGCTTGAGCAGAGAGAGGCGTTCGAAGACGTTGGCAGATTTGCCCTCAAGCTCGTACTCTTTCGTCCAGCTCTTGGAGATCTTGCCACTTTCGGATTTTGCGTGGTAGTGGCAAGACAGCACATCCCTTGGTCGCGGGACAGCAGCCTCCAGTGTCCAGAAACCATGGCGGAACTCAACAAACGTCAGCTCAACATCTCCGCGGTGGAGAACGAGTAAGTGGCTTTATGTCTTCGTGCTGCCATCTCCAATGGGGTCTCATGAACATGGTGTCCTCCGTCGCTAGTATCACTATGGTCCCATTGAACGATGGCGGATATACCGAGATGCACAGTCCTCCGAACGTCCGGCTCCGCACCGGCACCATCGGCAGTGAGGATTTTAACGACAAAGGTGCTAACCTGCGAATCGACATGGACAAGGGCCAAAAGAAATCGATCAAGTCGGATATGCTCTCTTGTAAGTATTCTGTAGTCACTTCGAATCTACGCAGCCCTTGACCAAAATTTGTGCATACAGCGGAATTTCGATTCAATGCCGAGTTATCACTGCGTGTTGCATGTGGTGTGATCATTGCGTCGTTCATCCAAACACGTGATCCGGACTACAACCCGTCGATTGAACACGACAAGAAGTGGTTCTTCTTCCCGGAATGGTACTACCTGGGTGGTCTCAGTTACTGTGCTGTGGCTGTCATCTTCTCTGCCGGAAAGAACGTTGGAGCAACGCTGACTCAGGTTTGCCAGGCGTTTTACGGTGTGGGTATGGCGCTGGTGTACAACCTTTTGCTCTTCTCGTTCGTGGACGTTCACACCTTCGACGGCTCGTTTGACGGCTACGTCAACATCTCGAAAACTGTGTCCTTCGGAGGATCCCAGTACTATGTCAACTCACACAACTTCTACGCTGTGCTACCGTGGATGGTGATCTTCACCGTCGCTGTTCTACTGCTGCCATTAGAGAGCAACACCAAGAAGTTCGCATTGGCCAACAACCTCTACTTCAGTAAGCTCTCTATTTTATTTTACTTATCATTTCTAATGACGTTTCTAACGTGCTAAATTCGTAATTTACAGCATTAACAATCATTAACCCCACGGACCCGCTGGACTCCAGCAAGCTGAAGGAAACGGGCGATAATTACTTCGAGACCAGCAACATTCTGAACAACCTGGCGATGTATTTCCTCGTGGGCTTCGTCGGAACGCTCATTTCGCTGCTCATTATGTTTATTCCCTATCCGATTTTGTAAGTATCGATAAATTACCATTTTCCGAAACCGAAGGCTAATCTTTCGCGTGTAATTTATCAGTGCGATAGCCAAGCTCCGTGAGGAAACCAAGAACGCATCGGGAGATGTTCTGGATCTGCTGAACGTCATTGTGGACTCGTATTGTTTCAAGAACAAAAATGTGGATCACATGAATTTTCTGAAACTTAAACTTCAACGCAAATTTGACGCAGCAGCTGCACGTCATCGTCGTATGAACGCATTGCTGGGGGACGTCTGGTGGGAGCAGCTCTTCGGGTTCCACCTCTTTTTCAAGTTTAATCGCTCGATGACCAAGGGATACGTGCGTCTTATCGGCTCGCTAATTTCGGATCTCCGATCACTGAACAACGCCATGCAGCTCGAACAATATGATCATCTGCACTTCATGTACATGAAAGTCCTCCAGCGAGAAATTTACGTCATCCAGATGCGTTCCGGCGACCTACTTCATGAAATTTCGGGTGAAATTCACGCTTCCTCTCAACGTAAGTTTTGTTCCCTAAAAATTGAAAATTACAGATTCTAACGTTATTTTGTTTTGAGAAACAGAGCTCAATCTTCAAGCAATCAAAACGTTGAAAAGGCAGATGGAAAACACGCTGCGTCACTACCGAGAAGCGCAAATTCGCTTACTACAATCGCACAAGGTCAAGCCGAAAGACGTCGAAGGAAACGTCCCGTTAAACTTGTTCCTGTTCTCGCTCAACTCGTTCTGCAGCACTTTGATCGAGTACCAAGACACACACAACAAAAAGGATTTCCACGGTGGTCGACGAGCACGTTCAGGCGTCACACAGGCCATCAAAGATTTCTTTGTGGTGCACCGGTACACCCGAGCTCGAATCCTCGAAGCTGCCCGAGTATCCGTCGCTATCATCATGGGTATCTTCCTGGCTGTGTACATTTACGGCTTCAGCTCCACCACTCCGAGTGCTGTTGCGTACGTGATGGGAAACCACATCGGAGGCTCGTTCAGTGTCACTGTGAACCGTGTGGGTGGCGTCGTGGCTGGAAGTGTGGTTCCTTCTGTGTTCCAATTTTTCATTTCCCAAATTTGCAATCCGGAGTTCCTGAATGTATTTCTATCCGACCTGCTGCTCTTCATTTGGGTCACCTTGTCCATGTACGTCAAGTTCGTGGAAGGCTACAGCTCCTACGCTGGTGTAGTCTCCGCTTTCATCGCCGCTGGAGTTCTCCTTCGTCAATCTGATGTATGCTACGCCAACGGGTCTGACAGCTCTTCGACGATCGCTATCAGTTCATATTCCAGTCTCGCACAGACTTCGGTGGGTCTGGTGTTGTTCATTGTATTAGAAATGGCCATGTGTCCTGAAAGCGCCACCGGTTTACTTCGCAAGAACATCCAGCAGACTCTTAAGTTGCAGCAGAAAGCTTTCGGTATTTTATTCGGCCATCATCTCTCAAGCTCCGGACAAATGAGTAACGAGACGATGGAAGAGGTTCGAGACATTCTACAAGTGCAGATCCCAGCTCAATTAGTGGAACAGCGTGCGTTGCTCAAAGAAGCCGAAGCCGAGCCGCAAATGTGGCGTCCAGCGTTCTCGAAGCAGAAGTACGAGGCAGTATTCGACAGTACCACCCGGTTACTGAACAACAACAACTTGTTGTTTAAACTTGTACGCTGGTACAACTACCGTGTCGAGCAGAACTTGGCCCAGTCCAACTCGGTTGATATCCGCGACATGGGCATCGAAAGCGCACGTGTGTTTGACACAAACGGAGGGCGAACAACGCATACGAAGTGGCAAGAAGCGAGCACCCAGTTCTTGTCTGTTGTGGACGATACCTTCAACACTTTGCAGATGCTTTTCGGGGAGTCGTTCCTGTACTCGGATCCGGATCAAACGGCCATTTTCATGCAGATGAAGGAAGCTTTCCGTGTCGCGGACAAGGACTGTAGTGGCGAGATCGACGCCGATGAAGTCGCCGTGATGCTGGAGACCATTTTCGCTCAATCGGGTGCAGTGAAACAAGAAGAAATCACCAAATACGTCGCGGATTTCATGGAAATTGTGGACAAGGATTGCAGTGGAAAGGTGTCGTTCGAGGAGTTCATGGCAGCGTTGGAAGATGGTCTTAAACTCGAGGTGGAAGTGTACCATCGGCGTAAACCCAAAGCAGCTTTGAAGCATACACTTACAAGTATAAATGAAGACAGTCACGTTGGCTCGCGTGCGGCTCGAGCAAGCTGCAGTGTCACGTCCTCCAATAGTGCAGACATGACGAAAATTACATCTAGTATGTTCGATACCAAGTTGCAAGGAGGTCGCGTGTTGAGTACGGTGTCCTCGGCACAGAATACTCCGAGGAAAGGCTCTGGGTACACGAAGAGGGCGTCGTCGATCACTTCGCCTATTCGACGTAACCACGACGTGTTGAATGTCGAGGACTTTTCGACCAGTGATATTGCTGCTCAGATGAAATCTGCTTATGTCGAGTGGCTCATGGAAGGCCACCGATTCAAGCGCGTGACGATGGAGGAGCTGCTCTTGCTCAATTGTCTGGTCAGTGGGGCTGAGGGGATTGCCAGAAACCTGACGCTTATGGAAGAGATCGTTGTGGCTTCATAGAGTGGCCATGGGGATCTATGTTGTCTTACCTTTGTGAGTGTAAAATACAATATAATACTAATTTCAATCGCATCCTGGCTACAATTACCCATGGTTTCTCTACTGAAGAAGTTTCTGGAAAAGGTGTGGTTTTGCTCTGCATTCATTTGGTCCGCCCGCCAGTTTTGAAGCGCAGCACGACAGTACAGGCCCGACAGAGCTGTACATCCGTGGGAAGACCAACAGTACTTTTAAACACTTTAAGAAATTGTTTGGATGCTGCCCACGATTTTTTTCGGCCTGCGGTTCGGCAAGTCGAACGGACGAAACGTTGCTTGGGACTGCATGTAGAATGGAAGCAGATATTTATTATTTCGTCAGCAGCTTTTGGCGACCTATGATATTTCTGTCACCCCAACCATCAGGCCTTCCGAATAATACATTGCAGTGAAAATAATATGGCAATATTAGTATGGAATAATGAATTTTTCAGTTTTGATGATAAATTAAGTAAGGTAAGTAAGGTATTTCCGGTATCGTCATAAATTATTTGTAGCCCATGCTGTACAAAACTGCTCAATCCCAGCTACGCAAAACTGAGAACCAAACACTGCTTGGTTGGTTGACAAGTCCTTGGTCATCAGTCCTCCTCATTTTCCGATTCACCTTGTCTTTGACAACTCCCTTCACTAACAAGCAAGTCTGTGACCTCTTCCTCAAGCCCGTTCTTGACAACAAGGATGAACTGACGGAATACTTTCGCTGTCGCTGCTCCAAGATTCGCAAACAAGACCTGATAAGCCACATTCGTGCACAACACCCCAACTATGCTGTCGACATTGCCAGTTGTGGGCTTGCCAGTGGTACCCTGATTAAGTTCGTGGAAAAGAAGAGTCGAGCCATCTACAGCTGGATTGACTGGATTTTCTTATGCAATCTCCCATTTAGCTTTCTCGACAACGAAACGGTGGCTAAATATGCTGCTGTACCCACGATCTCACCCGAGACAGCTGAGAAGTACATCGGCTTGGTAGTGAAAGCGCTGGAGAACTACGTTTCAGGCATTCTTCCTAAGAAGTTTGGCATTGCTTGGGATGGATGTTCGTTTCGGTCAGAACACTATGTGGCAGGTTTTGGGGTCTTCGGTCATGACGGCAAGATGGAGAAGATCGTGCTCGTCATGGCTCCTCTTGTAGAAGATGACGTCGTGGACCATTCTGCTACTGCTCACATTTCTTTTCTTCAAGCAGTGCTGGGCTACTTTGGCCAAACGCTGGCTGACATGCTGTACATCGTCGCGGACAGCTGTCCCACGAATGGGTTTATCGCTGCAATCATGAAGGTACCTTTCGTGGGATGTGCGAGCAACCGCTTTACCGTGGTTGTCGTGAAGTACATGGAGAGCAATGGGGATCTGATTGACAAAGTCCAGCTCTTGATGCGTAAATTACACGGTCTAAGCGCTTCGGCTAGTTTGCGAGCCAATTGTTTTTTTTTATTTTCTGGTATTTTATCTAATTGGGTTTTGTTTTTGGTAAATTTTAGAAACAAACCAAGTTGAGGCCACTTGTCTGTCAGACAACACGGTGGTCGTCAACTTTTAACATGGTCCGATGCTATTTTGATCTTAAAGATGCAACTAATGCCATGGATGACGCCAAGACTGCACTGGTGCCGTCAAGGCGCAACCCCCCCCAGCTTAGGGGGCTTCTTGAGGAGTTGAAAGCATTTGAATCCTCCTCGAAAAATCCCCAACGTGCCGACCTGCTGTCACTTCTAGACGTACGATACATTTTCGACGCGCTTATCGCCGACCACCCTGGTGTCGAGGGGTACCTGGGTCAGACGCTGGTATCGTCCAGCAACCTGAGTTCGAGGATGCCTGTGTCACCGTGCTACCCGGAAAGGCGGATAATATCACGGAGGCTCAGCGCTCGCTGCTCCTACCGTTTACATCTCACGCTGCGACGCCCCAATTGTCGGAGGACAAGAAGCTTTGGTTTGCGGACCAAGCGCTCTCGAAGCGCAAGCTACAACGTGAGACGGCCTGTGAGTACCCAGAAATTGCAGTCATCCCGCCGACGTCCACCATGTGCGAGCGCGTTTTTAGTCAAACCAAAATGTCATGGGAAACCATCGCCAAGGACTGCTCCCTATCCATATCGAGCTTATTTTGTTTATTAAGGTAAACCGCCACCTTTGGAATGTGAAAACCGTCGCTGGTGTCGTTAATGCATCCAAATGAGATGTATCTTGGAAGTAGTGGTGTGATATTGTTCTTATCGTAACGGTTACGTATTTGTCGATATCAAATGTTTCCCTGCAAGTACTGACTTCGCTAAAAGCAAGGGTCTCATTGCAGTTATATTATCGAAAGGCCTGCCCGTCAGTATTCATAGCTGGACAAGGTGTAGACGATGTGTGCTGGACGACGGTCCTTTGAATTGTTTTTGGACTAATTGGCGCAGTGAAAATTTCCCATCGCGACGACAAAGTACAGCTCTAACGATACTAGCAAGATCGCGGTCAGCTGCTAGCTTGTCTAGCAGCTGGATAAAGCACTTCGAATCGAAGCTATGATTCTCAGTGCGCGTTACCTGGACGAAGCAAACGAACTTGTCTTCTCTATTGACAAAAATGGCGTCGTAGCCAGCTTGATTCAACTTTACTGGAGACAGCCACACCGGCCTATCAAGCGATTTATCGATCGAAACTTTGCTTGGATCAGAGCACAAAGCCGTGTTTCACGGAGAAGCTCTGGATTACACTACTGTATGTAGGGTGGTTGCTTCACCATTGGTTTTACATTGTACAGTGTCAGTAAGGAGCTTAGCATACTCAAAGTGCCAGAAAATAACGTTTCAATTTGATCTATACAACTTTACAAGAATATTAGACCCCATGCGTTCCTTATTGCTAAACTTTACATTACTGGTATACCTAAGTGCATGTATTTGTAAAATTAATCTATATAATGTTTACAAGGATATCAGCTCCCATGCTTCCCCATTGACGCGCAATACTGTACAATTTTACTACAGTCCCGTATACCGTAGTAAATACGCGATCACAAGAGATACATTGGCGGTATGGAATGTTGTACGCATCATCTGCGTGAAACATTCACGCGAATAAAAATAACTTCGGATATTTGTAATTTACAGTGATGTTACCTCTTGCCGACACAAGCTAAATTCACCTTGGTGACATCTTTGGTACAGATAATATTCATTTATACAATACCATTCTTTTATTTAAGTAAAACGACGTTTATAATACAAGCTGAAATGACAGGTTATGCACGCTTAGAGAAGAAAACCCACTATTTTGGGGTACGACAATCCAATGTAGATCTTACGTAACAGGCGTATCAATTGCTGAAGTAAATTTATCTAGGTTTTGTGTTGAAAACTTTAGCTTGGGATCTGAGCATAAGAAGTTAGAGAATTTCGAGGCCAGAATGACTCGTCTCCTATAACCCTGGATATAATATCCAGAGAAAAGCTTTTAATCCCTCCCAATTCGAGGTAGTAAAACGGATAGTATCCATGGACGGATTCATGCAGCATATGTTTGCCAGCCTCTGCAGTCCGGATGGGCCCTTCATCACGGCGACAACTCTTCCGACGTACTGACTTACGAAGTACGTGTCAAAACGACGTTCGGCTGTATGAAATCAAGACATCAAACGATTGATAACCGTGTCCGAAGAAATACGGACTAGTCCTTCAGAAAATATGGCAAGGTTCGACACCTCCTCGATCGCTCCGTCCTAAGCTCTGACAATATATTCTGTCAAGAGATCAAACATGAGCCCTGCAATTCCACCGGCCACGAAATCGGAAAATTTGGTCTTCAACATTTGTTCATTTTCATCGTCTGTCGGAAATGCAATGCCTTCTGGACTCCATAAAACCCGCTTCGTACATAACGAAAAAACCTTTTCCCTGATTTATACTTTGCACTGTATAAGTCTCCATAACTCAAGCTCATACTTCGACCACGCCACGACTTGAACCACTATAAAGTTTAGCCGCTCCTTTAATATGTCTTCCGTTTCCTCATCTTGGCTGCCCATAAAGACGTTTTGCTTTGTTTTGTCGATGAACAGAGAAAAAGGAATTTGAATGTTTTTGTAAGCTCCACACAACGAGCTCATATAAATTAGTATGTGGGTCCCTTTCTCACGCCGATGCATGTGCTATCATTTGCATATGATGCGCGCTTCTTCCACGTACGATCTCGAGCATCCAGAAAACTAGTTTTTTTCGAGATGCCGAATATAATATATGTTTCTGCAATTCTATCCCATTATGCTCGATGATGCAAGTCCGCTACCATGATCCCGTTGCCGGTCACAAATAGACGCCTTAATAGATTGAGAATAGTGTATCCAGGTCAAATCCCAATTCGTTGCCTCATATGAAATGCGAAAGCGAGAGGTGTGCATGGTTTTTCTGTCCCCGACACTCTAGCAATCCACAGCAGCGATGGCTCCTGATTTGAGCATCTCTACATTAAACCCACCAACAGAATCTACACTGGTACGGCTTGTCACGTTATAATAGTTGTAATAGAGGGAAAATTGTCAGCTGAGTGGAATTGTGGTTGCTAAAGACATTACTGTCCTGACTGGTCTCCTTGTACTTGTCCTTAGTCTTTTAGTACTCCAGCTTCAACGTCAACCACTTGTTCTCCTTAGCTACACATGTACGTGGCTTGGTTCAGCCACTAGCATACAACCTGCAAGCTTAGCCTTACATCATTGCGGCTACCCAGCCGCTTATGAAGCTAGCATGAGGTGCCAACATTCAGCTATTGTGTACGACAACCTCACACGGCTATCCAGCCGACAAATGCCATATTTAGCTATAGAATGGCTATTGGAGGAACCACCAGTCACGCCACATGCACGCTACTAGTAGAATAAGAGCTGTGGGGAATACTTTGGGAGCCAAATTTGTCGAGCGAAATAGCAGCCACAACGTAACCGATGGATATGTGCTGCACATATGGATTTA